AAGAATCATGCAATTTTTTTAATTTTTTGTTTGTATTAGCCCAATGATTTAGCGCCCGAAGAACTCAATTTTTTTTTCTCAAAATACTTTATGAGGACCTCTGTATTTAATAAGGGAACAATGAAGTATACTCACCACAATTTATTTCGCTCCCATTTCCGCATCTACAGACTCTTTTTTAGGAATCGCACAAATTCATCAATCTACAGACCCATGATTATGGCGCCGGGAGAACCCAAATTTTTTTTTCTCAAAAAAACATTATGAGGACCTCTGTATTTAATAAGGGAACAATCAAGTATACTCACACAATTTATTTTGCGACCATTTCCACATCTACAGACTCTTTTTTAGGAATCGCGCAAATTTCTCAATCTACAGACCTATGAATATGGCGCCGGGAGCACTCAATTTTTTTCTCAAAAAACTTTATGAGGACCACTTTATTGAGGTGGGGGACCATCACGTATACTCACACCATTTTTTTCGCATCTGTTTCCGCATCTATAAGCCTTTTTTAGGAATCGCACAAATTCTTTAATTTTTCGTGTATATTAGCCATTAATCTAGCGACCGAAGCACCCAAAATATTTTTATCAAAAAACTTTATGAGGGCCTCTTTATTGAGTTGCAGAACCATCACGTATACTAACAATATTTTTTTCGCACCCATTATCGCATCTTCAGGCCCAATATTAGAAATCACGTAAATTCCTCAATTTTGCGTGTGTATTAGTCCATTCATCTTGCACCGGGAGCACCCAATCTTTTCTCTAAAAAAAACTTATTGAGGAGCTCTATATAAACTCAGACCATTTTTTTCATTTCCATTTCCGCATCTATATGCCCTTTTTTAGAAATCGCAAAAATTTCACAATTTTTCGTCTGTATTTGCCCACGAATTTGGCGCCCAAATCACCTAAAATATTTTTCTCAAAAAAACTTTATGAGGACCTCCGTATTGAGTCGGCAAACATCACGTATACTCACACAATTTTTTTCGCGCCCATTTCCGCATCTCCAGGCCCTTTTTTGGTAATCGCTCAAATTTCTTTATTTTTTGTGTGTATTAACCCATAAAACTGGCGCATGAAGCACCAAAAAAAAATTCTCAAGAAGTTTGATGAGGAACTCTATATTTAGTTGGGGAACCATCTACAGGTCCTTTTTTTAGGAATCACGCAATTTTTTCAATCTTTTGTGTGATAAGCCCTATGATCTGGCGGCCGGAGAACTCAATTTTTTAAAAAAAAAATCTTTATGAGGACCTCTGTATTGAGTTGAAAAATCATCACGTATACTCACACCATTTTTTTCGCGCCCATTTCCGCATCTTCAGCCCCAATATTAGAAATAACGTAAATACCTCAATTTTTCGTGTGTATTAGCCCATGGATCTTGCAACTGGAGAACCCAAACAATTTTCTCAAAAAACTTTATTAGGACCTCCATATTGAGTTAAGGAACCATCACATATACTCACACCATTTTTTTGCCCTCGTTTCCGCATCTTCAAGCATTTTTTAGAAATCACGCAGTTTCCTCAATTTTTTGTGTGTATTAGCTCATTGATCTGGTGTCCGAAGCACCCAAAATTTGTTTCTCAAAAAACATTATGAGTGTACTCAGACCATATTTTTCGCTCCCATTTTCGTATCTACAGGCCCTATTTTAGGCATAGCGCAAATTTCTCAATTTTTATAGTGTATTAACCCATGGATCTGGCGCCCGGAACACCCTAATTTTTTTTTCCTCAAAAAACTTTATGAGGACCTCCGTATTGAGTTGGAGGACTATGACGTATACTCACATCATTTTTTCGCGCCCATTTCCTCATCTACTGACCATTTTTTAGAAATCGCGCAAATTCCTTAATTTTTCATGTGTATTACCCCATGGATCTGGCGCCCAGATCAATCACAATTTTTCCTCAAAAAACTTTATCAAGACCTCCATATTGAGTTGGAGAACCATCAAGTGTACTCACCCCATTTATTTCACTCTCATTTTCGTATGTATAGGCCCATTTTTAGGAATTGCACAATTTTTCGTGTGTATTAACAGATTGATCTGGCCCCCGGAGCACCAAAATTTTTTTCTCAAAAATCTTTTTGAGGACCTCCGTATTGAGTTGGAGAACAATCACGTATACTTACATTATTTTTTTCGCCCCCATTTCCGCATCAATTGTCCATTTTTTAGGATTCGCACAAATTCCTCAATTTTTCATGTGTATTACCCATGGATCTAGCGCCCATATCAACCATATTTTTTTTCTCAAAAAGCTTTATTAGGACCTCCATAAAGAGTTGGAGAACCATTACGTATAGTCAAACCATTTTTTTTCACTCCTATTTCCGCATCTATAGGCCCTTTTTTAGGAATCGCTCAAATTTCTCAATTTTTCGTGTGTATTAACACATGGATCTGACTCCCGGATCATCCAAAAAAATTTTCTCAAAAAACTTTATGAGGACCTCCGTACTGAGTTGGGGTACCATCAAGTATACTCACACCAATTTTTTCTCTCCCATTTTCGCATCTACAATTCCTTTTTTAGAAAACGCGCAAATTCCTTAATTTTTTGTGTGTATTAGCCTATGCAACTGGCGCTCGGGCACTCAAAATTTTTTTTTGAAAAAAACATTATGAGGACTTCCATATTGAGTTGGGGGGCGATCACATATACTCACACTATTTTTTCGCTCCCATTTCAGCATCTACTGGCAATTTTATTGGAATCGCGCAAATTTCTAAATTTTTCGTATGTATTACCCCATGGATCTGGCGTCCAAATCAACCACAATTTTTCCTCAAAATTTTTATTAAGAATCGCATAATTTTAGAAATCATGTAAATTACTCAATTTTTTTTGTGTATTAGCCCATGAATCTTGTACCTGAAGCACCCAAAATTTTTTCTCAAAAAACTTTATAAGGACCTTCGTATTGAGTAAGGGAACCATCACGTATACTCACACCATTTTTTAACGCCAATTTCCGCATTTACAGGCCCTTTTTGGAATTGCGCAAATTCCTCAATTTAATGTGTGTATTAGTCCATGTATATGGCGCCTCGGAGATTTTCTTCTAAAAAAAACGTTATGAGGACCTCTTTAATGAGTTGGGGAACCATCATATATACTCACGCCATTTTTATAACGCCCATATCCGCATTTACAGTCCCTTTTTTAGGAATCACGCAAATTCCTCAATTTTTCGTGTGTATTAGTTTATGGATCTGACGCTTCGAAGTATCTAAAAAAAATTTCAAAAAACTTTATGAAGACCTCCGTAATGAGTTGGGGAACCATAACATATACTCAAACCAATTTTATTTAATGCCTGTTTCGCATTTACAAGCCATTTTTAGGAATCGCGCAAATTTCTCAATTTTTCGTGTATGAGCCAATGAATATGGCACCTTGGAGCACCCAAAAGTTATTTTCTGAAAAACTTTATGAGGACCTCCGTAGTAAGTTGGGGAAGCATGACGTATAGTCCCACCATATTTTATGGCCTATTTTTGCATTTATTGCGCGACTTTCTTAGTTTTTCATGTGTATTAACCTATGGATCTGGTGCCTTGGAGCACTGAAAAAAAAATTCTGAAAAAACTTTATGAGGAACTTCGTAATGAGTTGGGAAAGCAGTACATATTGTCCATTTAAGACCTATTTTCGCATTTACGAACCAACATTTAGGAATTACGCGACTTTTTTTGGCTTTTCGTGTGTATTAGCCTCTAGATCTGACGTCTTGGAGCACCATTAAACTTTATGAGGACCTCCGTAATGAGTTGGGGAAGCATTACGTATAGTCCCACTATATTTTAAGCCTATTTCTGCATTTACAAGCCAATTTTTAAAAATTACGCGGCTTTTTCGATTTGTCGTGTATGCAATTTAATGCTTTAAAAAATAAGGCATCCGTTATAGGCCCTCAAATTTGTAGGGGCTCAATATTTTAATAAAAATAAAATTATGATAACAAAAATTAAAGTTTTTTTTTTTTTCATTTTTGTCAAATTTTAAATTTATCTTCCACATGACATGTTTAAAACCACAAGATCAAAAAACATATATATTTATATATTTAGTTTAAGACCACAGAAAAAATAAAGGTTTTTCAATAAAAAGAATGAAATGACTTTGCATCTCAAAAACTATAAAAAATAAAATAAAAATTAGGTTCCAATTTATTTTGTGTGTTTAAGTCACTAATTAGTTTAAGCCGCCACTGAGTAAGATTTGCATACATACTATCTTCTCAGACTTAATTTGTGGAATTACGCTAATATGTTGTTATTTAAATGTAAGACCTATCTGCTGCTAAATGACGAGGTCCAAAGGCAGACCCTTCCTAGAAGGTGTTGTCTCGAGGACGGCTTATAGCTTAGCCTTGCCAAATTTTGATTCATTTTCTTTCTGTTGAGACTTAGGTCTTACGTGTTGTTGACGAGGTGCAGTGAATGAGACTATTTCTGAGGTCTTGAGTTTGAGTCTTGAATATAGAGAAATTCTTGGTAAAAGCTTTATTCTCGAATTGTGAAAATCAAACATTTATATCGAGTATAGGTGATTATTTATCTATACACACTTTTAGATTAATCTCCATGTTAAGCATTAATAAGTGGTCTAGTAAAAAAGATCACTGTTGGTATATTTTATATTTATTAAATCGAAAAGGATTACAAAATGTCAAAAGTGTTTTCATTATAAAAATAATAAAAAATAAGTGGATTTAAATTATATATACTTCATAGTACAGAACTCTTAACATTATCTGGTCATCTAAAAAGACAATATCTACTTGTAAGCTTACTTAAAATGTGAGATTCGTAATCTTGAAAATAAGACATTGTTATCTGCTATAACAGGTAAAGATGACCAGATAGTGTAAAAATTCCTTACATTGACGATGTATATAATTAAACTCTAAATGAATATGTATGTATGTGTGTGTTGAAAATAATCTGAAGCAATAAAAAAAAGGTATATATCTTTCATGCTCAAACCAGAGTTCACATTTTGGTCATCACTGCATATGAATGAAAAAATTGTATGTCTTTGACCTCTGTGAAAATGTTGTTGCACCCGTGTCGGATTTAGAAGTATGATTCTTGATCATCATGGCAAAGTTCCTTCCTGAGTTTTTGAGAGAAAAGCCTACAAGCATCCATACTTAGATCAATGGCAGCCGAAAGTGCGATAAATAGGGCAGCATCAGCCATACAAGTGACATGTTGCACCCCGACTTGAACCATCGGTGTACTAATCTTGCCTTCGCCTTCTACATTTGACACCATCACGAATCCTCTTATCGGAGAATTCGTGCTCAATGCAGTGTCTTTCACTGTATTGTCAATGCAAAATTGACCACCTTTTTTCATGCTCATTGTGCCTTCAGCTATTGGAATGGTACTAGTAAGGCCAGTATCAGTAACAAGCTCGAATTTGTAACCGAGACCATCAACTGGCCCTCTTTCTCTCCACGCCTGGAGTCGACCCCAGTGTTTCCAGCTGCTAACACAAGCGCCATTAGGCCGGAGGATGAGCCATGCTCCGGCATTTGATCGTGAGACACGATCGGAACCAGGAGAGGGGACAAATGGTGTGATCATTGAGGCAGCAGCAACAGCTGAGCCTGAAAGATCATAGATTATTATCATCCATCCTTTTCTTTCTCTTCCTGTTCTGTCCCTTTCTCCAGAAAATGTTCTCATCCATCCTCTGTTGTTTAAGTTGAAATCAGTTGGTAGAGATCTGTTTTAACACATAAAAGAGAGACAAATATCAGCTTAGGGACAACTTATTAACAAATTCAGTACCTAGAACAATAAATGAAGGGTGTGTTTAGTATGAAAAAAATTGTTTTCCTGAAAAACATTTCTAGTGTTCAGTAAGTAAGCAAAAATATATATCCGTAATCTTGAAAAACATCAAGGTGAGTGGGGTAGGGAATCGGGGGCGTAGGCATAAGTTTTAATAAGGGGATTCATCATCTATTATATGTACATGAAAAAAGTTCTGACCTTACATATATTTATATATAGTGAGATTTTTCGACAAATGAACCCCCCTTTGCTCCTCTTAAGTCTCCACCCCTGGTCAGAAGGGGAGGGGTGGTGGTGGTGAGGCTGGGTGTTGGGGGCATTGGAGGGTTGGGGAGGAGACAATGAGCTTGGGATGCCACTTATAATACTTGGTTTTCTTAGTAAAGTGATTTTTCATAGTTTTAAGGAACTTATATTCTTAGAAAAATGCATATCGAAACATTTTGATTATCCAGACATGAAAAAATAAGAAAACGTTCACTCTATAACGAACACCCTCTAAGAGAGTGATAATAGTAAGCTTAATTTGGTAAACTAAATAGTAAGGTAGGTGTATTCAATAATCCACAAAATTAATGCTAAGATAGATGGTTGATCCAACTAAACAAACAGTCAAAGAAGAATATTAATAACTTTAATGAAGAATTTATAACTAAATCTTTGCACATGGAAAGGGAATCAATGGTGGTTGCCAATAACACTAAGTTAAATTTTTTGTCTGTTAGATCAAACTAATTATGTTGACTGACAATTCTCTAATCTTTGTCATTAAAGTAAAATGCTCAACTTGATAAATAGTTAATTTTTTGGACCCACAATTTAAGAGAATAAAATCATGAGATAATCTTTAATCAACTTTAGTTAATATCTCCCATGTTAAGAGTAAAAACAAATCCTAATAAAGAATTGTCCATTAAAAAGACAGGTAAATGTTCATAATAAGTAAAGACGGTCCTACAATACAAAGGTCTATTATATGCCGTCTTACACTATATTTCTGCAAGAAGTTATTTTTATAGTTTGAACACGTGACCTTCTGATTACAGCAACGTAACAACAACTTTATCAATTACGCCAAAACTCTCCTTTCTATATTTAGTGATGGGTATTTCAAAAAATAAATTATCAAAATTTCTTGTAAAAGTTAACTAAGTAGCTAAATACTTGAGAGGTTCTTAATATTGAAATTTACTATACTTTTAAAATTATATATTTATTTCTACTATATATATGTTGAATACTATCATTCTATCAGCTTCATCGTATAATTACTTTTTTATATTTTGATTAACGTTAGTAAAAATTTCGACTCAACCATTAATATTAGCACTCCATTTGTCCAAAGAGAGTCAATGATATGGTCCCATATTTTCCAATCCCCACGACATATTTCCACAAGAAAGTTCAAAGAAACGACAAAATTATATCTACGTAAAAATTAAGTTTTTTTAAAAAATTTATTATATTACTTTTTAAATGACATTATATAAATATTTTCATTTTCATATTAATAGATACTTAAATAGTCCTTAAAACTCTAATATCACAGGAGAAGTAACATGAAAAAAAAAAACCTTACATATACTTATACTAACGGATTTTGATAGTTTTTAATAATAACATATTAAGCATAGTTTTACGTGAGGTCACTATTAGAATAGATAGGAGATTGACCCTTGGAATATAACCGAAGCAGGAAAATGATGATAACAAAATAACGAGATAAACAAAACGGTAGCAACGGAGACTCACCGTGAGCGATTATTCCGATCAGCACTAAACTTGCAGCTAAAAACCGGTTGTCTAATATTCCCCTGAATCTGAAAAACCACCGGGCTACACTCCGGTTCACCACCAAACTGAAAAACAAACCGCGGATCCGGTTCAGCTCGAACCGCTATATGCAACATCGCCACCGGTTTATCCTTCTCCGTCATCGCCGTCGCCCCCAATTTCATCCACCCATTCTGAAACACCCTCCCCTTCGAATGCGTCCCACTCAAATCCACACTCACCTGAACAGAACCCATCAATTTCCCCGACGTAACTCCACACGAGCGGCCCCCCATTCGACCGGTGAAAACAGAGACAGTTAGGGTTACGGGTTTCGCGGATAAACGACGGAGTGCGGCGGCGTCGAGATGAAATCCGGTTGCGATTGCGGCAGATTCCGGCGGGGATTGGGTGTAGGAATTTGGGGAAAGAGGGAGAATTGTGGTTTGGGTAGGGAAATTTTTGAGCTTAAGTTTTGCATAACAGGGAGTTGAAGATGGATGGATTCCATGAGAAGCTGATTTAGTTGCTGTTAATGGAAGTTTTAGAGCTAATGATTCGATTATTAAACGAACAAATGGACATGGATCCATTGAACTAATAGCTTATTAGTAAAAGCGTAGCAATTATTTTCTTCTTTGTTTCTTCGAGGAAGCTTCAGAGATGAAAATGGTGATATTATGGAGGTTGAAGAGAACATGTATATTTTGTTTCAATGGATGAATGTATGCTTATAGTAATTGCAACCCCACCCCACGCCCACCAACCTACCCTTGCCAGGTTGTCTTTTTTTTTTTTAAAAGGATAATTAGTTATTAATTGATGAAACTTTTGTGAAATTAAGTTTATTTGAAAGTTTGTAATGGTATGGGAAATGTATTTATTAAAATAAATGTATAAATATGTGATTTGTTAATTCAGCGTATTAGGATGTCTTAGCTTGATACATTGTGTATGATTTATGAACTAAAATTTGGTTATTTGATGAAATTGTATAAGAGTTGTGAAAGTTATGATAATTTTCACAAATTATAAGATTATCGTGTTTACAAGAAGAAAAATACGACTTGAGAAATTTAAATTATATTTTAAAATAAAATTCAATTTCAATTTAACCTGATTTCAAATCATGTCCAAACGAGTAGTATATTTGTCCTGAACTTTCTGAAATGATTTAAGTTTATCCTTCATTAATAATTGAGGTCAAATATATCCTTGTCAAGTGTTATCATAAATTGGTTCAATTATATTCTTATTCTCTGACGATAAAAGTTCTCAATATATGAATATTTTATAAAGGGAAATTAGCAAATTTATCCTTAAATCGTGTGAAATGATTTAAATTTATCCATGAACTTTGAAGAAGGAGGTTAATGTTGTAGTGGCAACAATATCATCTTTTTCAATATACTCAAAATCTCCAATAATAATATAATTATTCTAAACAGAAGTTAATATAAATATCCTGAAATTTCGAATAATCTATTAAATGAACTCAAACATTACACAATTACACCATCAAGCTAAAAAAAATTAACTTAGCCAAAACTCCATTTACACGATTTGATCACTAATACTTCTCAAATCATTAATAACAATGTCAAAGCTCCACATCGATCTCCTAATTCTAAAATAAACCTAAGTACATAATATTTAGCTTTTAAATCAATTATAATAGTATTGTGATGATCATAGTGGGATATTACGTCAAAAAGTAAAATAATGACATAGAAAAATGTTAAAGATAAAAGAGTGAGAGAAATTATTTGAATGTGATAATTTATGTATATTCTTATTATAAGTATTTTCATAGCTTTACGTGATGTTTCTAAGACTTTAAAGCATTACTTATTGTGGCGGTAATTAAATTAGAGTGATAATGGGTAATAGCAGAAAAAAATAAAAATATGCATAATTTCATAAAGTTTAAGGATAAATTTAAACTATTTCACATAGTTTTTTTTATCGATTTGATTTAACTCTTATATGTTCAATAAATCATATGCTTGTCAGTTATTACGTTACTATACACATACTGATCAACAAAATAAGATAAAAATAATATTCATGTGATAAAAAACGAAAAACAAAACTAATCAGACAAATATTATTAATTTAATTTTGATAAAAATTTGATCAAACCGATTCATATACACACCTAACCAAGGTCATCATAATAACAATTTTATGAGAAAATTTATTGAGTGATTCTTGAAATTGATTATATGGCAAATCACAAGTATCTATTGGAGATATAGAATATCTTCATAGCATTTGTTTTATGAATAATCATATTATTTATTCCCTCAAATAATGTTTAATGATTAATTTTCTCTAAAGTTCAACTATTCTCCAACCACAAAACAGTTGGTAAACATAAAAAAGTTATAATATGGACAGTGTTTTTATAACATGCAAAGCAGTGCAATCATTTTTATTTTATTTTATTTTTTAAAATTTTGGAATATGACTTTTGAATTAACTACTAATTGAAAAAAAATTTAATCATTTAGCGGCACAAAAACTAGTATATGAGAAGACATTTGTCATCAAGTACGTATTAAGTACTAATCCTTAATTTCTTATACCTTAAGCTTAAATCCCTAATTATATATCTTAACCTTAAAGCCTAATTACATTCGAATAATTCATTATTAGTGGTCATGAATATCAAATTAGTGAATCAATTAACATAAATAAATAATACATTTGTAAAGTGTAACATCTTCATAAAGTTAAATTGTTTATCTGATATAAAATAATATTATTTTTTAAAAATGATCTACTAAAAAAATAGCACCACTTAAAATGAAATGGATCAGAGGGAGTATATATATAATTAACCATTCATTGAATATTTTGTTCTTTTTACAATTAGTAGCTACGCCATAATTAACACCTTCTAATAATGACTCTAAATAGTATTGAAAAGTCAGAAGTTTCGTTTAGAATATTCAAGATTTAATAAATATATTTTTCGCATAATTTTTTAATGATGTTATTCCAAATTTTTGTATAATTACAACCAACATTCTTAAAATTATCGTCGACCAAATCACATGAAAGATAATTTCAATTATTATTATGTGACATAATCTTTGTTTTTTCAGAAATTGTTTCAAGATCATTTGCTCTTTTTTTTTTTTTTTTTTTTAAATGACGATAATTTCTAGCGGAAAAAGACATAAATTACATAATTTAAAGTTTCATTGGGTCTTTAGAAATTGGGTCCCATAACAGCTTGGCTAAGGCTGTTATTTTCTTTTAAAATTTTAAATTTTATTTTTGTGTATTATTATTATTATTATTTGTTAAACTAGTTTGGTCGTTATATGTTTGGTTATTTATTTAACAGAAAAAACTATTTTGTGCATTTGTCTGCTTTCTCAGATTATGTGATCTTTTTGACGGCTGTCAAACGGCGGCTCTATTCTGAAATAATTAGTGATACCAATTATATTTTAATTGGTAGGAGAAGAAAATATAATTCAAAAAAATATTTTCCTTGATAATTTTTGAAAAATAAATACGTTTGTTTATTTTATAGTGTTTAATAAGTAGGTAAAAAGTAGTATCTCAAAAATATTTATATGTAATTTAGTAAAAATAATATTATGAATGTTTTTTTTCTAAAAACATGAATTCTCCCTACCAAACACACACCCTTAGTTTTTTATTTATAAATGTGGCACAAATAATTTATTTTATTGTTATAAAAAGAATTTTTGATAGAGGAAGATGGTGCTCAATAATTTTTACAACTATTTGAAAGATCCTTTCTTGTTTATCACTCTTTTGTGAAGGATTTTATGCTCCAAAATAAATAAAAAGAATTTGGCCCACTTCACTCCAAATACAATTGAAAATCATGCATTAAATAATAAAAAAGTTGGTTTATAATGAGTATAACTCTATTATTTTTTTCTAAGAGATTTTTGTTCTAAAAATCCCCACTTTAAGTAATTAAGTTAATGCACCAGCAATACCTGCAAAAATTGAACATATTTAATATCAAATTTCACTAAAATAACTCCCTAATCCTTATAACTAAATTATCCTTTAAAAAGTTTAGGATTCATCTGAATTCAATAGTAATAAGTTTAAATAATAGAGTTTTCAGTAAATTAAATTAATTTTAATAGACTTTTCGAACTCAAATCTACAATATCAAATTCTGATTTCATCTCTTGATCTTTTGTGTATGTATAAGGTGGGTATTATTTTATTTTTTTAACTTTCTCACAGTTACATAGTATTCATTATCCGTATTAAAATTTAACTAAATTTGAATTTGTAACAGAAAATTGAAGATAAAAATGTTCAATAACAAAATTAATTTCATATTAAATTTTTTTGAATCCAAACCTACAATTAAGAACAGAAGAATACTTATCGATCAGATCATTGATCAAGATTTTATTTGTGTTAATATTAGGCCATGGTGACCTGTACACTTTAGGCTATGTCTAGCTATTCACAATACATATTTTTCAACAAGATTTGCTTTGTCATAGTGGAACCACATAGACATTTTTCATTTATTGTTCAATCCATTATCAAATCTAGCTAATTAATACCCTTCACTGCCAACTATCCTAGCATTTTTAAATATTAATTAATGATGCATATATATATATACTTAGACATCGGAGCCCGTGCTACCCTTCACTACCAACTATCCTAGCATTTTTAAATATTAATTAATGATGCATATATATATACTTAGACATCGGAGCCCGTGCTACCCTTCACTACCAACTATCCTAGCATTTTTAAATATTAATTAATGATGCATATATATATACTTAGACATCGGAGCCCGTGCTAGCACGGGCTCAATATGTATCATTTTTTTAATTCAATTTATGTGACAAAGACAAAATTAAAGAGTTAATTAAACTTTAATATCAATTTAAAATAGTTTAAATTTTAAATTATTGTTAACTATGGTAAAAAAAATTTATATCTTTTAACATTCTAAATTGCTAATTATTGTTGTATGATTTGTAATATCTTTTACGCAATTTTGAAATAATAAAGGTTATTTCTTCTTTCTCAATTTATGTGGTACTAATAAAATTTCGAGATTCAATCAAATTTTTTTGTCTTTAAAATATTATATTGTTAATTACTGTAAATTATTGTACTTTCTAAGTAATTTTCAAATAATATATATTATTTCATTTGTCCAATTTATGTGTCACCGATAAAATTTGAAGAGTTAATCAGATCTTTTACATATTTTTACGTCTTTTGAATATTTAAGTAAATAATTATTGTGATTTATAATATTTTATACAATTATTTAAAAAAAATTAAACAACAAACAAAACGAATTCATCATAGGAAAATTACCAAAACATCCTTGAGTACATCAATAATGGGTCCCACTTTTTGTTTTAAAAAATATGCATATTGGGAGGATATTTTTGTCCAAAGTGGAAATAGAATAAGTATAAAGCATTAAAGTTTTTTAAAATTTTAAATTGTTAAATCTTATTGTATGATTTGTAATACTTTTACGTCATTTTCAAATAATAGAGGTCATTTCTTCTTTCTCAATTTATGTAGTACTAAAAAAAATTTGAGATTCAATCAAATTTTTTGTCTTTGAAATATTTCTAGCTGTTAATTACTGTAATTTATAGTACTTTCTAAGAAATTTTCAAATAATATCTATTATTTCATTTGTCCAATTTATGT